TCCCCGCGAATTTGGGGGATGTGGAGTGCGCCATCTCTGTCTATGGCCAAGTGTTCACTCCACAAAGACAAGCTATGTCACCAGGAAATGTCAGTGGCTGCTCCATGTTCACTTTCAATCGTTAACATGGATTCAGTAATTGACTATGCTTGAGGCTCAGCGTTCCGTAAGAGTTAGCACTCAATAAAAGTTGTTGTTTAATAACATTTATTTATTATGGTTTTATTAAGAATTCTAAGTGGTAAGCTTTACTTAAAAGTTGTTGTTTAATAGCAGGATTTCCTTCTTAAAACAGCTGAAGAACAGCTGCTGGTCAATAGTAATCAGCCCCATGGTGGGCTCCCTCAGCCAGAGGCATGGAAAATGCCCAAAATTGACTCCGGCGAGCTTGGAGGAAGCCTGCTTTCCCTCCAGTGGAGCCTGAATTACAGTGGTTCCTAGTGATAATGTCACTGATTTTGGTAGAGCTCCACTTAAAATGCAAGGCATAACTAATAACAAATTCTAGGCCTTCATAGAAACTGAAACATTTCATCCTTCAAAATAAATCTGGATGCACGTTTTATCAGAAATGTAACAAGTTAAAAGGCAAACCAAAGGACCCCTAGAACTGCATGAAAGTCAGTTCATAACAGGCCTCCAGTTTTGGAGACTGGGCCCAGGCCTGGTTACTAGCTTTCAGTCACAGATTTGTCCAAGGACTGAGGGCAGGACTTGGATTCATGAGAGCTGGTTCCCATTCTCAACTTTGTAGCTGATCTACTGTGACTTTGGGCAATCCACTTCAGCACTCATTTTTACTTTCCACCCTTTGTCTAGCCCATTTAGTGTGTAAATTCTGCAGGGTAGGAATTGTTTCTCATTGTTTTCATATAGAACCACGCAAAATGGGGCACCAACCCCTTTATACTAATATAAAGCAAATTAATAAACATAATTTAGGTAATAAGACTAAAAGTGTGAATAAAATATGAATTGTGGTGGTTAACTGTCCCTTCTCCTCCTGTCCTCCTAACTTTTCTCTTTACATAGCCAAAGATCACAGCTATAGCATTTTGAATTCAAATATAACCTATCCTTTATAACTTGGCAGCATGTATGCATGGTATACTAAGTGTAATGACCATAAAGTACTTCATTTGTGAAACCATATCCTTTTACCATACTCTGCAAGCAATATTAGAACAAAGTACAAATCAACTACAACTATCATATTTACAACATATAATTTAATTCTAATGATACACTCAAGCATTTTGCTACCAGAAAATGGTACCTATGAGAAATTTGCAAATTTTTATTCATATACAAAACAGCATAAAATAATAGATATATTCTATAACAATCGATTTGAGACACAAAATATACCAATAATCATTATTAGGCTATTTCCCTGCAGAGAATAATTTGTATCTCTTTACAAAAGTTTCCAATTTTATAATCTGGAGATAAACAAAGTAGATGTTGCAAACAGCTTTGTATGAGCAGCTAAGTTCAATGTAGGGTAGCTGTAAAAAAGTGGCATTTTGTTGTTGTTGTTGTTCTGGAAGACTTTGTAGTTTTTAGTTCCTGAATTTCCACAAGCAATCCACAAGAATAGTGGGTCTAACTTCTCAGAGGAGAGACAGTATTCACAGAATTTCCACAGGAAATGACGCTTCACAATGCATGGATCACCTCAGTGAACCACTGGCAACCACTTGTCAAAGAAACAAACCATAAATATAGCCATACTGTATTTTAAAAATTAAAATGTGTAAGTTAACAAAAAAGTATATAATTTGATTCATGTTTAACACTGTTCCAGCTAATAACATCTCTGTATATGTGTGCTCAATGCTAATCAGTCTTGATGGCATTAGTGACACTTCAGAATCTCACAGGGCTGGCATTTGGGAGCATAGGGCCTCAAGCTTATTGTTAGAAAGTAGTGACTTCCCTCACCATTGTACTACACTGAACAGGGTACAGTTTACTCTTAGAATGAGAAACAACACAGCAGTAAATGTCTTTTAACATTCAATGCAAGTGATCTATATTCTCAAAAATGTGAGGGGATGAGAGAGAATCTCTTCATGCCTAACCTGCAACAACCAACAAACTAGTAAATTCTGGGTGCCATTACCACTTTGCAGGGGGACTAACTGATGAAGCACATAGCATGGACTTTTGGCCTGTCCATGTACTGCCAGTGTCCCTATTGGACTACTTCCTAACTTGGCATGTCACTGGGACAGCTGCTGCAGAGTTGTCCCCTAAGCTTGCTCTTCACTTCTGGCCACCATTACACGCGGCTGACACGCTCATTTGGGGAGGCTTTCCGTTAGACCCACAAAAGGGCCACACAAGGTTCACCCCATAAATAGCAATACTACAAATATATTTGGAGTAAACTTAATAAGAGTTCCTAAACTGTACTGTGTTTTCCAATGCAAATAATGCCATCAAGTAACAACAGACCCTTTATAGTATCACAAAAATCCAAACTATCAGTTTCTTCACATTCCTGAAAAGAAGTGCCAATCCATTGCTAATGCATTCACTACAGTCTGACAATTTATAATCCAAAAAGTTGTCTGGAGAAGAAATTTGTAAACAAATATTTTTACTCATCTCCAATATGTCAGTGAAGATAGTTTTATACTATTGAATAGAAATGACTGCAGGTACATCTATTAGGTGGGAGTAGAACCAATATATCAGGGATTAATTTCAATGAGGCCTTTTCTGGGGTGGGGGGAAAAGGATAACAAAACATACAATTAATTTTGATGCCACACAAATCTCTTTTTCTGGTTATTTCCTGTTTAGGCTGATAACACAATTAATTCAACATTCTCTTTTGCCTCCGTTAAGACTGATATTCACCAGCACTCTCAAAACCAAACATAAATGCTGCATTTAATCAAAAGCTGAGTTAACGTTTAATGGCTGTATTGTGAGCAATATCTCACTTATCATCAGTTTCTATTTATATCATATTACTTTCTAAATGGTAACAGCCCAGTGGGACAATCTGGAGGAAGTGGCACCTTCTTTGGAGAACCAGTTTGATAAGCTTCTGTTTGCAAGACATGAGAGTCTTTGGTTTTGCTTTCCAATGATACGTGCGGTGGGAGTGGTTAAACACTCAACATTTTCCATTCTTTAGTGATTATGGCATCTGTTACTCTACATCAAAGGAAGCACTATGTTTACTTCAATATTCCCAAGATGAAGTATGGTGAATTTTGAAGTGCTCAGTGCAACGATGTATTAATTCAGAGTAATGTATATTGATATTTTCAAAAACATGCAATTATATGTTGAAGAGGTTTAGTTTTTATGTAGCATCACAGGTTAAAGCTTTTATTCCAGTAGCAACATAGAGGGGTCTTCATTCTGTGGTTTTAATGCAGATGTCACTTGGGGGTCACTAGATGAAGTCATACCAAGAAACAGAATAAGTCTCCAGAATTGGATTCTGTATTCAATTAAATGTAACCAGCAGTGTTAGTAATACGATGATAAGAGACTGCAAAGCATGACACTCATTTATTGGCAGGTGAGAGGAAAAGCTATAGGACATTGTTTCCTCAAGGTCATACACATACCCATAATAAGTAGATTGGCATTAACTAGAACTGCATTTACTAGGAAAGCAGGGAAAATTGATGAAAGGAATCAACCTTTGGGGTTATGGTTAAGAGACTCTTCACATTGATATCTTAATTGTGAGAATATCAAGTTAAAATATTTTTTTATCGTACCCTTTAAATGTTGATTTATGCAGCTCTGGGATTCCTGTTGTTAACATTTTCCTCAGGATAATATGTACTGTCCTTCTTTAGGACATCAACATCTATGCTCAGACAAACTGTATGCTCATGCCACCTTTACTTGTAGTTCCATCATTTGCATTCTGTAGCTCCTCAGTGGACCTTTACTATCATTACTCTGTCTTTCCACCATTGCCAAACAGTGCCCAGTGGCGTTGTGCATTAAGCTCAGACTTGTTGATGGAAATGTTTTATGTTAAATTGGGCTGTAACATGCGCTTTCCAAAGATGGGTTGCCACAGCATAAAAATAAGCCCATGTCTCATTTCAACTCACCCTTTTTTGTCTTTGTAGTCCTTCATTTTTTCTCCCTTTATAAACTTGTATGCAGGATCAAGGGCAACAAAATCACAGATTACAAATGAAATAATGTCCTGTGCCTTGTTAAGAAATTATGTTTACTCATTTGTGCGTGTTGCAAACAGAGTATGGTTGAAACACTTTGTAGTGCATATACAGTTTGTATGACATACTTATGTATCCGTATCCATCACATACATAAGCATGATAAGCATGATGTAAATAAGCATCAGCAGTTTCTAGCAGTTTCTAGTAGGGATATTATCAAATGTACTGAAATTATTTTTAGCAGTTATGCTAGACAGAGTGGATATAGTACTTGGACTATGGAAAACCACTCTCACATTTTGCCAGTATTGAATACTAAACTCTAGAGACAAAGAATAGTTTTAGAAGTACTGAATTAAGCGACACTGCATCTCTATTAAATTTATAGAGTACATAAAAATGGAAATTCTCAAAGTGCATTAAGTACTATGTCCCACTAGCAGCAAAGCATTAGCTTCATTTTCTTCTTCTGTTAAACAGTAAACTCGTGTGTATATAACATTGTATACACATGTACATATGATACATTTTTTATATATACACATATATACACGTCTAAATGTGATGTACAGAAAGATACACAACACATATACACACACTTTTTACTACTGTATTTGAAGTTTCAATTTGAAAATTGACAATTATTCTCAGAAGCTATGCAAGTTATAAATACTGACTATTAATATACTTTACCAGCATTAGAAATTATTACTATGCAAATGGTTAAAATATGAGTAATGGAATTTCTTTTAAATCTTCAGATTATTTTGATGACATGTAATCAGCTTCTAATTCTGGTATAGTGAACATACAAATATTTTGTTTTCTGTCTTGTGCTTTTTTTATTTCTTTCTCTTAGTATAAAAGATATAAACTGATATAAAGCAAGGCTATGGGCCCTAAAATATAGTTTCTACAAAGTTCTCTCTCTTTCCTCTCTTTCCTGAGTATTCAACAATTCTTTAAAAAAATAAAATAAAAAAATAGAGGGTTTGCAATATCAGGAGTTGGGTTTCTTTTCTAATGCATAAACCTTAAAGCATTTTCCCAAACAGTATGTACTGAGCCTCTCCCTGTAAAGTGCAAAAATATTATGATGTAAACAGAGCTACTATAAAAGTGTCATACTGATATTCATCAGCATGAGGTTTCTTGAAATTGTCCCATATTTGTTTCAGCACTGGAATCCCTTCTGATCAACATCTTTTGAGCAAAGCTTATCCCTTTGGTGATCAGACAGTATCAGCTGAAATACAACAGGCAGTTTGACTTCACAAGAGGGGGGAAGAAAAAATCTGTTCAGAATTGCAAGCTCTCATCTTTTGGATGGATAATTCTTTGTTCCCCATGGATAGCAGTGATACCTAAAAAGATAAGAGGTAGACAGTAAGTAAGTGTTTGTAGACCCTAGGAAATCCTTACTACTCAATTTCACTAAGACCAGAGTTTCTTAGGTTTCTGTGCTTTTGACAGTAAGTTCCTATGATATAAATGTAATGTATGAGCCAGGAAAATTTGAATGCCTTTCTACAAGGCATGTTTTAATTCAAATGTAAGTTAATGAACCTGAGACGGGACTTACTGGGACAAATGTCATAGCCTGCTATTCAGGGGATCAGGCAAGATGTATTTAACACAGGGGTATCAAACTCACCCTGGGTTCCAGGCCAGACCCATACTGCAGGGCTCCTCCTGGACAGGATCCATGGAGTGAGCAGCAGCTGCAGTGGGTCTAGTTCTGGGTGTGGGGCCAGCAATAGTGCAGGTCAGGCATCAAGCAGCAGCATGGGTTGGAGAGCAGGCAGTGGCACAGATCCAAGGGTAGGCAGTCATGGAGCAAGTGAGGGCTGTATCTGCACAGCCTTCACTCACCCCTGCCGCCAATGGCCATGTCCATTGGGGTCCAGGAACCCCATATTCTGCAGCAAGACATGTTCCCCCACAACTTCCAGTAGCCTACCAGACTACTAGTAGGGCAGATGGAATGGTTCCTCAGGCTGGATCTAGTCCACGAGCTATGCGTTTGACATGCTTGATTTAACACTTCCTTTGGACTTACAATCTATAGGCAGGGTAACTTCACGTGACAAATGTTTGAGCACAGTGTCATGGTGGGATCTGTACAGAGCCAATCTAAGCTCCCATATTCCTAGTGACCTGCCTCTGACATGACCTAAAGTAGCAGGGAGGCAAGCTTTATCTTATGCTACTGGTGAAAAGTCTCGTAGATACTTGAGCAGTGTGGTGTCTACATCTCTACCCATTTTCTCTTAACATGCTCCTGAAATGCCAGGCAAGAGAGCTAGTGCAGGAAGTGGTGGAAATGCTTCTGCCAATTTTACACTGGTGAAGATGGCATCAAATAAGCAAACCTGTACTATATTATATTTTATTGCCCCATGGAAACATAATATACAGCTTTTCTCTCAAGCACAGTACTGCTGGAAAGTAACAAACATTTTTTTTTTCTTTCCCTCAGAAGCTGATCCAACTTCCATTTCAAGAGTGAGGTAGACTTCTTCAGCCTACTTTCTCTAACATCTTTCAAAATGTATAGTCAAAAACACCAGACCCTAAGCATGAATCAAAGCACTCCACTGTGCACACAGTTCTCTCCTGGGAAGATGATGAGACACAAAAGGAAGCACATGTTATACTGGTCACGTTTATTATGCTTTTGGAAGGGGGTCTGATCGTATAGTGATAAGGATAGGATTAGAATCTGTAAAAACCTACCTACGCCCCCTCCCCCACACACGAATTATATTGAAAGAACTTTACTAAAATGCATAAAAATTAAGAAATGCAAGAATGAAGGCTGCCCATGTACCCTTACTGTGGGTCTTTAGTGTATCTACATTACAATACACCTTTGAATTTACACATCCACACATTAGTTTTCCCCCAAAACTATGACTCTAAGTGCACCAGACATTTTACTGATGGTTCTATCAGATGACCTGATGAACAATTCCTTGCATTTGAAAGCTTGTCTAACTTTATCCCAATCAAGCAGCTGGTTTAATAAAAAATATCACCCACAAAAAGGCTTGCATCTTGCATAATTCCTAGACTATCACAGCTACAACATCACTCCAACACTACCAAAAACAGTAATTAATTTATCTTCACAACATCCCCAGGAGATTAGGAAGTGGTATTATTTCCACTTCACAGATTGCAAACTGAAGTACGATACAGGGGAGATTAAGATCAAAAGCATCCATTAATTGGGGTGTTTGAAATACCTAAAACCTGATTTTTCAAAGTACTTTACATTATATGTTCCAAGCTGTGTTCTTACTGACTTCAGCTGCAGCTATGAGCACTTAACTCAACTGCAAATCAGATCAGGCACCCAGATAATGAGTAACACAGTTAGTAACCACCTGTGAAAGGTTTGGTTTAAGTAACTTCCTAGCACAGGAACTTTATCCAGATTCAAGAAAAAAGATGTCCATTAACAATGAAACCCTCCCTTCTTGCAATCTACAAACTTTTGTAATAGATGAAGCAGGGGTTCTTTGGACAACAGTGTCCTTCAGTCCACCCCCGCAGTCTATCCCCAGGGCACATCTATATTGAACATTTAATAAGGCGGGGCTCGTATTGGTAAAATAGTATGTGATCATGTTCCTGAAGAATGTATCATAACACCAAAGTAGAAGGGGCTAAATTAAAGCTTATATGAGCAATCTTGATTCTGGTATTTCTTAATATTTGAATGTGACTCTAAGAATTTTCTTTTAATGTAGAATGCATGTGTGTGGGTGTATAATTTCCCAAGTTTTTATAGAGTAATCTTAGAAAAAAACTTAAATTCCATCATGCAGCATTGACCACATGGTTCATCAGCAGATCTAGAACCTTTAGATTTACCACACAAGCCTTTGCAATTTAAAGTGATGTAGTGAACTGTATCAGTAATAAGTTGTCATTCCACTGTGTGGACCAGCACTAGAGGAAGACATGATACACTTCACCAACGTGTTTTATGGGTGCACACTGATACCAGAAGAATGGTGAAAGTTGGCCATGTTATATTTCACTTCAGACTTTGGAGGAGATTTTGCTGTAATGAATGCAGACACTTCTGCCCATTCCTACTCTAAGTTTAGCCAATTCTGCTCTGTTGACAAAGTCTATCATGTTTTGAATCTATTTCCTGGATCTTGAGTCTCATGCAGCTTTTATAAATTTTATGCTTTAAGTCTCAGTGAAAGTGAATTGTCTTTGTCTGAAGCCCAGGGTACTAAAAGAGACATTAGATAACAGGGACTGAGCTGGTCTTGATCTCCAATGAACCTCAGCGGGTGAACAGAAGGACACTGTTTTCCAAAGAACCCCAACTTCAACTATTACAAAAGTTTGTAGATTGCAGTGATTACAGAGGCCAGGGTCACCAGCCTAAACTTGAAATCATAGACTAACTTGTTAAGATGACAAAAGGCTAGGACAAGGCACCAAGCCCAGATAATATATTTTATTTGGGATTAGAAATAAATGGTGTAAATGAAAAAGAAGCCTAAATAATAGTGCTATCAGTGTGTAGAGATGGCCAGTGATTCTCAACCAGGATGCCACAGCACCCTGGGGTGCCTTGAGATCCTTTTAAGGATGACATGGGATACTGCTCAATATTAGCATTATTAGATTTGCAAACACCTACATATGATTTACAGGATAAAGCCAGAGAATTCAAACAGGAATCCATAGCATCAAGAACAATATGAAATCTGTTTCTGTTTATTTCCCTGAGTTCTTTGCAACAGAAGAATCACTTTTCTGCAGTAAAAAACAAGTCAAAGATAAGAACTGGCATTTTTCAAGGGGTACCTTGGATTTAACTAGGTTGAGAACCACTGGAACATGCCTTAGAATCTTCTAAACATGCCAAGCCTCAGAATTTCAAACCATTCCCAAAAACTTAAGGAGAAATGGAAGTGAGATAGGTTTGACTCTTTTGGAGCTATATACTGTCCTCCAGCCACTAGACTGGTATAATCTAGGACACTGAAAAAAAAGTGGGTTCACCAGGGTTCCTCTTGGGGTAACAAGGAACAATGGTCACAAACTGACAGAGAGCAGATTTAGGCTAGATATCAAGAAAAACGTCTTCACAGTAAGGGTGGCCAAAATTTGGAATGGGCTTCCAAGGATGGAGGCGCTCTCACTTACTTTGGGGGTTTTTAAGAGAAGGCTGGATAGGCATCTGGCTGGGGTCATCTGACCCAGCACCTTTTCCTGCCTAGGCAGGGGGTTGGACCCTTAAAGTCCCTTCTGACCTTAGCATCTATGAATCAAAATACAAATCTGACTCTTTAACAAGACAGGATGAGTCAATAGGCAAATGAATTCTGGAGCAAAGGTTGAAATGGGATGTCACTCAATATAGGAAAGCTCCTGCAACACTTTTAGATTTTCAAGTGATAAGGCCGTATGATCATTAATCCCATCATACATCAACCCCACCTTAACCAGTCAAAATTCGGATTCCACTCTCATTCCTGAGTCTGATCACTTTCCTAGGAGTAACATCCTATGCAATTCTTAGAATGGTTAATAATACATAGCTATCATTAGAGCCAAAGCTGACAGTTTTCCTTTTGGTGAAACCGTTTTCTGTAACTATTTGAACAAATGCTCTCTACCTCTAAAAGAACAGAATTGAAAAAAATGTAGTGAACAAAGCTGTGAAAAAATAATGTATAAAATACAGAATATATGTTTTTGATTCACTCTCACTTTATTAGTGGTGCTAGAAATGGTCTCTTTGTCACAGTATTACTCTTGAAATAACACTTCTCTACCATAAGAGGATCTCTGATTGTATGTATAACATAATAATTCATTTGGAATCTCAGCAAGCAGCAGCACTCAGCTGAAGATCACTAGAGTCTCTGACCTTGTGAGTTTTGCAGGATTTATTTACTTGAAACAAATCCATTTTCATACAGCTGAGATTTTGCTTAGATTATGCCTCCTAGTACACTTTAGTGCAACTATATATGATACAATGTAATATAACATGCAGCAAAGGCATTTCAAATCAGATATTTGGTTCCACTTGGGTGTTGTATGTCCACCTTGATATTTTGAAGTGTGATAAAAAATTGCAACAGGTTTTCACTGTCTTATAAATAGGTTTGCAAAAAACAAACAAACAAACAAAACAGACGTATGTTGATAAACCACTCTCATATTTGGTGTAACATAAAATGAAGTTAAGCAGAAGGTAGGGAAGGATGGTATGTTAGGGGACCTATACATGTGATAGAGCTCTGCTAATTCACATGATTCAGAGCAGTCTCGAGTCTGCTGGAGTGTGCTAATCAGTGCGCTCCAGCAGCCTCTGTGTCACATG